GCCCTGAATAAGACAATACCATTGCACTTTTAGTCCTTGTGCCTGTCCCAGACCTGCAATAGATATTGGAGCAGGCCTAGTTGGCCATGCTTTAGGCCAATGTTGAGAGCAGATGATAGAAACATTGGTTCCAGTATCTATTAAACCTTGAAAGTTTTTGTCACTTATATTGACTTGACAAGTGGGTTTGGATTCCAAAATCTTTTCAGTGAGAACAATAACAGCCTGGCCTGTGCTTCCAAATCCCCTGGAGCCCGCTTTTTGTTTGAATGTCCTATACTCACATAAGGTAGAATTAAAAGCTGAGCAATTCTACCCCCTTTAGAAACCTTCCAGGTAAGAGTGATAGAGACCATAACCTTCAATTCTGCTTCATAATCATTGTCTATAACTCCGGTATGAATTTGAACTCCCTGGGAAGTCAGTCTCCGATCTTCCTAATAATAATCCAACTGTCCCCTGTGGAAGCGGTCCAAATATTCCTGTTGAAATAATAGCTAGTGTCTCTACAGGAGTAGCAATAAAATCCTGACTACTACTTATATCATGGGCTGTGTTTCCTTGGGTTGCTGGGGATAATTCCCTGACATGGCATGGTAATTCTGACTGTTGTTGCTGACGGGAGTAGTTGAGAGACACTTGTGGAGTCTGAACAGGATAGGCTCCCTTATTTGTCAGGGTTGGGAGCTTGCCCCAGAGGCTGTTTCCCGAAAGTGGGAAGCCATCCTTATGAAATTTAGAATGCCACTGATTTGCCCAATGATTTCCTTTTTTACATTCTGGGCAGAGGCCAGGCACATTCCCCTTTTGTGAATTACCTTTTTGAACATTCTCTTTTTGAATTTACATTCAACTCTTGTATGTCCAGGTTTCCCACAATTTAAACAAGTGCTGGGGGAATTTAGAAAGTCGTAATCCAGTCATAGCCTGAGCTAATAAATCAGCTTTAAAGGATTTGGTTCCTACTCCCTGGAATAGCTTAACATAATCATTTGAACTAGCATTTCCTTTAAAAGGGTTCATTACTTTCTTGTAATCAGTGTTAGCATTATCATAAGCCAACAATTGTAATATGACATCTGCCACCTCGGCATTTGTAACTTTTCCTTGGATTGCCTCTTGTAATCAGGCAGTAAATTCAGTATAGGGCTCCTTAGGCCCCTGGAGAATTTTTTGAAAGGAAACAGAAGTCTGGCTTTTTGACTCTATTTTTTCCCAGGCCCTAAAGCAACACCTTTGCAATTGTTCTATAGCTTGATCATTCATACGTATTTGATCTTGCACTCTCCCCTGTGGACTTATCCCCATAAGTTGTTCCAACAAAATAGGGATACTATGAGTGTGATTATGTGTAGCCAGAGTCTCAGCATGATCCTGCCACCAAGTACTAAATTGAAAAAATTCCCCTGGGGCTAACACTGTTTTTGCTAATGCCGGCCAATCTGCTGGAATGAGGCAATTGCCCTCTGCCACACCCTGAATTATTCCCACCTTGAATGGAGAATTTACACCATAATTTTGTACTGCTTCTTTTAATTCCTTTAGGATTTTAAAAGGAAAAGATTCATGAATAACCTCGTAGATTCCATTAGGGTTGTTAGGATTGACACCAGGAACTCTCATGAATAGTCATGGGAAAGGCAGTACAAAAAGCCTTCAAATCTCCTTCCCATTGTTCTGGGAAAATTCCTTTCTGTATGGATGAAAGATGAGGAGTGGGCATAGACTCTGGACTGAAGATGTTCCCTGCAAAGGCAGGTGGGTGGTGGAGGAAAGGGGAAGGAGGCAGAGGAAAAAAAATCCCTCATCATCTTTTTCAAGAGTCATCATCACCTTCATCAAAAGAATCAGAAGTCTGCAAAGGTTCCAGTACTGACTTAATTAACACATACTCCAAATAGAAACAGGGAGCGGAGTTCCTTTTGGATGTTCTTTAACTCAGCTCCAACCTTTTCCCAGACTTCCAAATCTAAGGTTCCTATTGATGGGAACCAGCAGCAATATTTATCCACTGCTTGCAACAATTCTAATAATCACCCTTCACTAACAAAAGCTCTTCCTGCTTTCAAGAGCTGTCTTAATAAACAAATATATGGGCGACAGTGTTCTGCACTCTCAACATTTCCCATTTTAACCCTGATTAAATGCCTGAATGACTTACCAGCGGGTATTTTCAGAGGCCTCTCAACCGTCCCAGGTTCTGCATCACTGTAGTTTCTTTCTTTGGTAGCAGTCTTTCACTCTAGCCCCACGTTGGGTGCCAACTGTTGCCCTAATGGTCCGGGAGCAAGTGATGAGAATGAAGACAGAACACAAAATCTGGTGCAATGGGTCAGGGAACCTGCAGCCTCTACTGGACTGAGGTGCAGAGTCCACTCTGAGTCCAGCTTTTATTCCTAATTGCAGACTATAAGACTTTCTCAGATCTTATCTTTCTCAAGACACACACTGTCTTAATCACGTACTCCTAAGTGTCATGGACTACACTGACATAGTCCAGACCTCTGTTTTTACCCCAGGCCATTCCCTTCTGGGCTCATCTTGGGAACAATTAGCAAGTAATTAGGCAGCAATCATGCCTGGTGCCAATCCAGTGTTCCAAGGTTCATGCTTTCATGATCCCAGTCTTACTCCCTTCTGGGTCTGACCTTGGGGTTTGTAACAAGGTGATTATTCTTAAGAAAAACATGAGAAATAATCATTAACACAGTTTCTTAATATATGCTGTGTTTCCAGGTGGTTGTGATTTCTCAAGGCTGTGAAAGTACATTATTAGGAATTCCCACTACGCAACTGGACACCCATAAGCCAAAACAAACAAGAACATGAAGCTAAAGCTTATAATATATGCAAATATTAACTTAAAATGGATCACTTAACTGCAAAACATAAAACCATGAAAACTTTAGGAAAACATAAAAGAAGATCTCTGAGATCTAGAGCTGGACAAGCAGTCCTTAGATTTGACACCAAAATCAAGATCCCTAAAAGTAAAAAGTAATAAGCCAGACCTTATCAAAAGGTCTGCTAATCAAAAGGTCTTTTGCTCATTGAAAGACCTTGCTAAAAGTATGAAAAGATAAGGTATGCACTGGGAAAATTTTTTGCAAACTACATATCCAACAAATGACTAGTATCATCTAGAATAAAGAAAGCACGCTCACAATCCAAACAGTTTTTTAAAAAAATATACAACTAAAAAATGAAGGAGTAAAAGACAAAGTCATATCACCACAATGGGTAGAGATGGCAAAAAAGCACATCATAATGAGCCACTAGGGAAATGGAAATTACAACCACAAAGAGATTATAACTACACACCTATCAGAATGACTAAGATAAAAAGTGGTGAAAAAGTCAAATGCTGGTAGAGCTACAGAGAAAACTGGGTCACTCATGTTCCTGGTGGAAATATAAAATGAAAAAGTCACTTTGGAAAATGATTTGTCCATTTCTTGTAAGAGAAGCATTCATTTAAAATGACTCACTTAAATGTTTATACCAGAGAAATGGAAATTTATGTTCATGTAAAAACTTATACAAAAATGTTCGAAAGCAGCTTTATTTTTAAGAGCAAAATACTTTTCTCCTCTTAGGGTTCCCTTTTAGTAAGAATTTTGATTCAGAACAAAGTATAATTGCACATTAATTATATTAGAATGTTTTGTTCCAAAATGATTTATCTGACACTTAGTAAAAGTGATGAAAGATTTACCTTGTGTACTGTATTTGTCTCTGGTGGCCCTGATGGTAAAGAATCTGCCTGCAATGTGGGAGATCTGTGTTTGATCCCTGGGTTGGGAAGATCCCCCAGAGAAGGGAATGGCAACCCAGTCCAGTTATTCATGCCTGGAGAATTCCATGGACAGAGGAGCCTGGAAAGCTATCGTCCATGGGGTTGCAAAGAGTCAGACACGACTGAATAACTAACACTTCACTCTCACTGTATTTGTAAAGTCTCCTTCTCTTTTGAATTCTGTAGTATGATTAAAACACAAACTAAAAGTATTCTTTACAATAAAAGGTAACATTTACTAAGCATTAACTATGTAGTACACATTTCTATAGGCTTTATATGTATTTACTCCTTTAAACTGCAGAAAACTATGGTGACATATGTGATATCAATGTATTATTAAGGAGGAAACTAAAACAAACTGGGGTTAAGTAACTTTCCCAAAGAAACACCCAGACAGTAAATGGTGGAGCTCAAATGATACTGAACAAGACAATGATGCTGAACAAGAGAACCCTACCTTTTAGGGTTGAGCTTTCATATGAATCACTGTCTAGCAAAGACTGAAATACGATGGAAAGTAATTCTGCACTTATATTAATCTAGCCTCTTTTAACTATGAATTCTCTGAAGGTGAGTTACTCATGAGTTTAAATAAAAAAGGATACTCATATTAATAATCTGAATTTTCTGATATTCCAAAGTCGAATGTTATCGATAAACATGGAAAGGATTTACTAAATTAATTTTTCACACAGTCTTTCTCCATTATGAGGTTTCTGATGTTGAGTAAGGTGTGAATGACATCTAAAGTCCTTACCATATGCATTACATTTATAAGGCTTCTCACCAGAATTAATTCTCTGATGTTAAGTTGTGATCCACAATTAAAGGCCTTCCCATATTAGTTACATTTGTATGTTTCTCACCAGTATGAACTCTCTGATAGTAAGTTAGCTGTGAGCTACAAATAAAAAAGTCTTACCACATTTCTTATATTCACATGGTTCCCAGTATGAAAAATCTGATGTAGATTAAGTTGTGAGGCACAAAATAAAGATCTTCCCACAGTGCTTACATTCCTAGAGATTCTCACCTGTATGAATTTTCTAATGTTGAGACAGTTGTGATCCATAAGCAAAGGCCTTTCCACATTCTTTACATTCATAGGGTTTTTCACCAGTGTGAGTTCTTTGATGTTCAGCAAGGTGTGAACCACAAATAAATGATTTCCCACATTCTTCACATTCATAAGGTTTCTCACCAGTATGAGTCCTCTGATGTCGAACAAGCTGTGAGCCATAGTTAAAAGAATTTTCCACACTGCTTACATTCATGTGGTTTCTTACCTGTATGGATCCTTTGATGTTCAGTAAGTTGTGAGCCAAGGATAAAGAAAATCTCACAATCTTTACATTTATAAGGCTTTTAACCAGTATGAAATCTATAATGGGAAGAAAGCTGTGAATCATAACGAAAGGCTTTCCCACAGTCATTACATACATAGGGTTTCTCACTGGTATGAATTCTCTGATGTCCCATAAGTTGAAAGCCACAAATAAAGGACTTTCCACATTCATTACATATGTAGGGTTTCTCACCAGTATGAAGTCTCTGATGTTGAGAAAGATGTGAACTCTGCATAAAGGCCATTCTACATTCTTTACATACATACAGCTTTTTGCCAGTATGAATTCTCTGATGCTGAGTAAGATGTGAGCCACGAATAAAGGACTTCCCACATGCCTTACACTCATAGGGTTTCTTACCAGTGTGAATTCTCACATGCTGAGTAAGTTCTGAGTCACAAATAAAAGTCTTTCCACATTCTTTACATTCAAAGGGTTTTTCACCAATGTGAATCTTTTGATGTCAAGTAAGGAGGGAGCCACGGTTAAAGGCTTTTCCACATTCCTTACACTGATAGGGTTTCTCACCAGTATGAACTCTTTGATGGTAAGTAAAGTGCAAGCCACAAAAGAAGGCCTTCCCACATTCATTACATTCATAGGGTCTTTCACCAGTATGAATTCTTTGATGATAAATAAGTTGCGAGGCACGAATAAAGGCTTTTCCACATTCCTTACATTCACAGTCTTAGGAACATGAACTCTCTGATGGTGAGTAAGTTGTGAGTCCTTAATAAAGGCCATTTCACATTTTTTACATTCATAGAATTTTTCATCAGAACGATTTTTCTGATGTTCAGTCTGTTGAAACCAAGGATAAAATACTTTCTGCATGCTTTACATTCATAGAATTTTTCAGATGAATGAATTTTCTGTTGTAATGTAAGGGATGTAGTCTGACTAGGCATTTCTTCATAGATTACTAGTTGTCTAGAAACCTCTTTATTTCCTAGTTGGCTTTCAAACTGATCTCTGCATTCCCTATCATTTTGAAAACGTTTGCAGTCACACTTTTGGCTTGTAAGTTGTTCTATTATTTCCAATTGAGATGCTTCTAGTTCATAAATTTCTCTTTTTGATGGTAGCTTCTTGGTTTCACACCTGGACTCCCAGTCTATAAGATAACAAGTAAACAAATGTTATTTTCAGATTCCTGGAAAAATGAAATTTCTATGGTTATAAATAGCCGACTCAAACTGACTATCATAAAATGTCAATGGAACCGATGGAACAGAAAAGAAAAATCCAGAAATAGACACAATTATAATTGTAAATTTAGCCTACAATAAAGGTAGCAACTAAAATCAGTTGGAAAGAGATGGACTCTTTCTTAATAAATGAAAGCAATAAACATAAGGATAAACATAGGAGACACTGATCTGAGAAAGATCCCCAGGGTTCTCCTTGTGCATGCTCAATCATTTCTGACTCTTTACAGCCCCATAGACTGTAGGCAGCCAAGCTCCTCTGTCCATGGAATTTTCTAGGCAAGAACACTGGAGTGGGCTGCCATTTCCTACTCCAAGGAATCTTCCCAATCCAGAGATTGAACCCTTTATCTCTTGCATCTCCTGCACTGGCAGGCAGATTCCTGACCAATGTGCTACCTGGGAAGCCCAGGGTTCTTACTTGCTGCAAAGAATTAAACTTTCCTTCTCCCTTAAAACAAAAACAACAAAAAAGCCCACAACACAGCGTTAAGGATAAACATTAAAAAAAAAAAAGATGAAATTGCATCAGTACCTTAGACATTACATAAGATATATTCCAAATGGAACAGATGTCCTTACAAAAATGAAAACATACAAATAACTAGAATAAAACTTAGGAGACTTTTCTATAACTGAAGAATGGGGAAATTTTTCCAAACCATAACTTGATAAAAAAAAAACAAGACCATATTAGAGTTAAAAAACAAAAAGCATGTTAAAAACACATTAAGGAAAGTAAAATGACAAGCTGGGAAAAAATAGATAAGTAAAGATATTTATACTTATGCTAAATCTATCTCAAAATTGTACTAGCAGGACTTCCTTGGCAGTCCAGTGATTATGACTGCACTTTCGCTGCAGGGGGCACAGGTTCAAACCCTGGTCAGGGAACCAAGATCTTGCATGCTGCATAGCATGGCCAAAAAACACAAACAAAAAAATAATTAAAAAAAAAATTTAAATTGCACTAACAAAAGAACTCTGATGCATAAAGTCTTTACTGAAGCATAATTTGTTGCAGAAAAAGAGTAAAAATAGCCCAACTGTCCATCACTAGGTGACTGGTTGAAATAATTCATGGTATAGCCACATCATGGAATACTATGAAGCAGTTAAAAAGGAATATCTCTTCATATTAATATGGAGTGCCGATTGAAATACACTGTTAATTTTAAAAGAAATGTCAACAAAAGTATGTATAGTTATGCTCTTTGTTTTTTTTAGGTATGGTCTTTTTATCTTTTTTTTTTTTAAATATATTGTAGTGGTTTTTGCTACATTGACATGAATCAGCCATGGATTTACATGTGTTCCTCTTCCTGATCCCCCCTCCTGCCTCCCTCTCCATCCCATCCCTCTGGGTCTTCCCAGTGCACCAGCCCTGAGCACTTGTCTCATGCATCCAACCTGGGCTGGTGATCTGTTTCACCCTTGATAGTATATTTGTTTCAATGCTATTCTCTCAGAACATCCCACCCTTGCCTTCTCCCACAGAGTCTAAAAGTCTGTTCTGTATATCTGTGTCTCTTTTCTGTTTTGCATACAGGGTTGTCAAAAATATGGAACGCTTCACGAATTTGCGTGTCATCCTTGCACAGGAGCCATGCTAATCTTCTCTGTATCGTTCCAATTTTAGTATATGTGCTGCCGAAGCGAGCACTCTTTTTATCTTAGGAAGGAGAGAAAGTGGAAGAAGTATAAATGTAAAATACACATTTGCTTTTATTTTTAAAAGGGGGGAGGATTAAACCCCATAGTTACAGGGTGGGAAATATGAAGAAGCCTGGGATAGAAGTCAGATTTCTTTGAATATAATCTGTTTTGGACATTTGACTTAGGTAGTACATAATTATATTGCATAATTATAAAACAAAATTAAATTACAAGAAAGCACAGCTTAAAAATTGCAAACAGCAACAAAAAATAAACCCATATTTAAAATTGGTAGCATAACCATACAAGGAAACTACCTCAAACATAGCAATTTGACTGTCAGATATACCCTATGAAGGGAATAGAAAATGGGCAAAACAATTATCTCAAATTGTTTTGAGTAATCTTATTATTACTTGTAGTGTAGATCTTATTTTAGAGGCTTCCTGTATAATGTGGGATACAGTAGGTAATCATGTGATATTCTAATCCCACTATTCTTAGTGTCCATGATAACTGGGACTCTTGGCATGAAAGAAAATGGATGCAGCTATAAGATTTTTTAAAGGGTTAAATAAAAAGCCTATAATTTAGATTAGAATTGAATTGGTATGAACTCATGCTATAGTTTAGGGGTTTTTTTATCTTTAGTTTTTAAATTAAGACTTTATTTCTTAGAGTGGTTTTAGGCTTACAGAAAAGCTGAACAAAGCTCAGAGAGTTCCCACACACCCCCTTCTTTGCCCCTCCAGCTTTCCTTACTAGTAATAACTTAATATTTTGTATTGGTGCAGTACATTAGTTAAAACTGATGAATCTATATTGATCCATTACTTTATTTCTGTTCTCCCTAACTCACCTTAGCCACACTTGTTTATCTGTTGATCCTCAAAAGCATCAAACTCATTCCTACCTCTAACTTCCCCTACTATTGCTAGTCTCTCTGCCTTAAACTAGTCTTCTTGGGAATTCCATGGCAGTCCAGGGGTTAGGACTCTTCGCTTTCACTGCCAAGGGCCTGTGTTCAGACTCTGGGGAACCAAGATCCCACAAGTCTCAAGGTATGGCCAGAAAACAAACAAAACCCAGAAAACTAAACAAAACAAAAAACTGTTGTTAACCTAGAATTTGCATGGCTTACTTGACTCATATTACCCCTCAAATGTGAGCACCTCAGAGAGTCATCCTTAACCACTCTCTCTAAAAGAACACTCACCCCATTTCTTTGTAATTTTCTATGCTTTTTGTTTTTCTTCATAAAAATCATCATTCTTTGTATGTTTTTATTTGTTCCTATTGTATTTCTTCTGCTATATCAATGGGGATAGAGAATTTTTCTTGTTTACTGCTATATTCTCAATACTTAGAATACAGAGGGTGTTTAAAAATATTTGCTGGATAGACTCTCATACAGGTGTCACCGGATCAGAAATATAAAATAGTAAAATGATTACCATTGGAAAAGGAAGGCAATCCCCTGTTTGAAAATACAGGAGAAAATGAAAGAAAATCAGGAAAGTAGTAAATGGAACAAAACTGGAAAGAGGGCATGTGGGAACTCTCTGGGCTTTGTTCAGTTTTTCTGTAAGCCTAAAATTACCTTAGGGTATTCCGTAGGTAAACAGTTTTGTCCTCCAGGGCTCAGGATTTTTACTCCACAGGCCTAGGAGAAAAAGGCATTGGTTGGGTCTTTGAGAACTTCCAAGCTAATAACTCGAAGATGTGGCCAATTAAGCAATTGGCAAAAAAAAAAAAAGTTAAAATTAAGCAATTTTAACAATGGCCTCCCTTTGCCTGATCATCAACTACTCACCTGGGCTCAGATCTCCTGTCACATCCTGTACAACCTTCCAAGGCTCTTTCCCTTGCTCCAATAAGGAGAGCATGTCTGGCTTAGAAGTGGAAACTCCTGTTTATAAGTGAAAATGGATATGGTTACACTCTGCTTAAAATGGAGCACATTGTTCAGCAAGTAACAAGGTCAGTTATAGAAAGAGTAAGACGCAGGATCTATGAAGAATACAGAAGATACAGGTGCCCAATGGAGCTGTCCATTTCTAAGTCTATAAAGCACAAAAAATTTATTTGGGACTAGAGGTCTGAAATTCAGCTAGGCACTTGGAAACTTTTCTAAATTTCACAAAGACAGGTTGAATTATTAGGAGCAGACAAGCTTACCCAGTGAGACCAGGTTGCTGTAGTTCTCCAGCATCACATCTCTGTGCAGATCCTTCTGTTTCAAGTCCAGGTATCCCCATTCCTCCCGAGAGAAGTCTACGGCCACATCCTTGAACAACACTAACCTCTGAGATGACAAACCCAGTGTTAGTGGTAAAACAAAAAAATATTTTCTAGAAGTAATGAGAGAAGGAAAGTATCACATAAAGTGGCCAAAAGAGAAAAAAGTTTGCAATAAGGTTAAGTAATGGAAAGGAAATTATGTGATAAATGCAGAGCATCTACATAGTTTCTAAACATTCCTATTACTCTATTATAGCTTCTCTTGAACAGTTATAGGAATGAACAAAAGCCAGGTGAGTAGAGTTTTCTGATTAAATGAAATACTGTGTGCAAGCCCATACATGAGTGCTCAGTCGCTTCAGTCATATTTGACTCACTACAACCCTATGGACTGTAGCCCACTGGGCTCCTCTGTCCATGGGATTCTCCAGGCAAGAATACTGCAGTGGGTTGCCAAGCTCTCCTCCAGGGGATCTTCCCAACCCAGGGCTTGAACCCGCATCTCTTACGTCTCTTGCATTTGTTAGGCAGGTTCTTTACCACAAGCACTACCTGAAAAGTCTGTGCAAGCACATAACACATGCAAATTCCCAAATAAGTTGCAAGTTCCTTCCTCCTCTCTTCCCTTTAAAGAACTGAAAATAAGTAAGAGAAAGGATGGAAGAGAGGGAAGAAGGAGAGAATGGAAGAAAGAAGGGAGAAAAAAGAAAAACAAACCTGATGGGCCCATTCCAAATATCCTTTTAAATATTTATCTTAGAAAATAGTATTTCTATGTAATTTAAGGGTTTATTTCCAACTTAAGTCTTAGAATAACAGCAATAATTTTCTCCCTTGTCCTGGCAAATCCTTTCACAGACATAATTTTTACAAGGTACATATATATTATGATTGTAATCATTTTCTTTCCTTTTTAAAAAAATTTTATTTATTTTTGGCTACACTGGACTTTCATTGCTGCACTCAGGCTTTCTCTAGCTGTGGAGAATGGGAGCTACTCTCCGCTGTGGTGTGTGGGCTTCTCATTGTGGTGGCTTCTCTTGTTGTGGAGTACAGGCTCTAGTCAGATGGGCTTCAGTAGTTCCCAAACATGGGCTCAGTAGTTGTGGCTCGCGGGTTCCAGAGCTCAGGCTCAGAAGTTGTGGTGCATGGGCTTAATTGCCCCGTGGTATGTGGGATCTTCCCAGACCAGGGCTTGAACCAGTGTTCTCTGTATTGAAAGGTGGCTTCCCAACCACTGGACCACGATGGAAGCCCTGTAATCATTTTCTTTTCCTTCCTTTCCTTCCTCCCACCCCATGCAATGTAGAGCTAATGGGATCTTAGTGCCCTACCAGAGACTGAACCCCAGCCCTCGGCCGTGAAAGTGCAGAGTTCTAACCACTGGACCACCAGGGAATTCCCTGCAATCATTTTCTTATTGTTTTTTGGTATTTAGTTTGTATTCCTTCTCTAATGTCAGCTCGGTTTCTAAAATTCTCAACTACCTAATTCTCTGGCTCTGCTACCACTCATCATTGCTCACTGTACACATCGCTTATTCTGAGCAACAGAAAGCCAATGAAAGATGACCTAAACTCACATAGACATGGCCCTTGACTTACACATGTTATTCAGATTCAAAATGGACCTTGTCACTGGTATTCACCTCTGAGATATTCACGGACATGATACTCTCTTTGTTCTCAGTCCTGCATTTGATCACATTTCAATCTTAAAGCCTCACAGATCAAAGATCTCACCACATTCTGAGATAAACAGCAATTTTTATCCTAATCATTCAGAAAATAGAGTCAATGACAAAGACTGAATATTGCATATGTAGTCCCATCTCATCAAACCACACTGACAGGAGAGGTTCTACTCTTTCCTTAATACATTTCCTGATTTGCAGAATGAATCCCAAATATGGCTAGAGAAGAGAGGGCCGGGGCTTAGTAAGGCAGAAAATCTGGAGGTAAGAATATTGAGCATTTATATCCTAG